ATCATGGGAGAAAATTAATGTGGGGGGGATATGTTCCCTAGGTCCATAACATCATGCCCCAACTGTCTGCTTAACTGAAAAACAGGGATGTTGGTAAGTCTTTGAACCCCTGTCCTAAGTCTGAGTCCAAGTCCAAGTTTTTGGTACCAAGACTTGAGTTAAGTCCTGAGTCTTTGCTACCAAGTCCCAGGTCTCGAGTCTCAAGTCTTGGCAGGGGCTGTGAGAAGACCTATGCATGTGCCTGGCTTCCCTTCCTGGAGCAGGACCTTGTATCTGTGCATGCTCAGAAACAGTAGGCCTGGCTCCTGCCCCACTGCTGCCTACCTGCTCCTGCTGCTGCCACTCCTCCACCACCCCCACTGCCACCTCACCACTCATGACTGCCTATCTGCCACTGCCCTCCCACTCCCCTGTGCCTACCTACCACTGCTGCACACCACTGTCCTCAGAGGCAAGCTGTAAGCTCAGCTTCCCTTTCAAGAGCAAGGCCTGCTGCTTCTGAGCACGGCCAGAAACAGCAGGCTTGCTCCTGGAAGGGAAATCAAGTCTGCTGCTAGCTTCTGTGGACAGCCGTGTGTGGTGGCAGCAAGAGGAAGTAGGCGCCAGGGGGACTTGACAAACGACTCGTAAAAATGGTTTCAAGTCACAAGTCAACTGCAAGTCATTGGGGGAAAATCCCAAGTCAAGGCACTGATGTGACTTAAGTGTGACTTGACAGCAAGTCACAAGTCCCCATCCCTGCCGAAACACCACCTACAGACACGCCCCTTGTCTTTCCAGGAATGTGTCACAACTAACCACATGGGGGAAAGTCTGCTTGAATCATTCCGGCTTGAAAAAGCCATGAAGCAGCAGACCAAAAAAAAAACAAAAAAAAAAACCTGCTTTGGGACAAAAAAGGGATTGACTGATTTGAATCAGCCTTTGCATCATGTGATCGGTAAAAAATACTTCACATTCACAGAACAAATACACATATTTGACCATGTAGTTGCAGTTTTAGTCAATCACAGATTAAGCTGAGATAAGGATTATTTCCTTCCTAGGCTGTTTGTTTTTATTTAATTTGGTAAATTGTTTTATAATTGTTTTGAATTGTTTAATTTTGCTTGTTCCTCTCCCTGAGATCTCTAAACATAGAATGGGATATAAATATTTTAATAAACAAATAGTTACATTTCCACTTCATGAATTTTCCATTTGGTTATGTCATTCACTGATTGATTGATTGATTCATTTGATGGTCTGGGCCATTTGTCTAATGAAGAAAAGTTTAAAAACCACAGAATAACCCAGAAATAAGCTCCACTGAAAAGAATAAAACTTGCTTTTGAGTAGACCTCTCTACAATTACATTGGTGGCAATAATACTTCCTGTTTTTAACTGAAGAATTTGTTGTTACCTAAGTTATGGCCTAGATTATTTCCTCATGCTGGGAAAGATGGGAAAGAGGAAGACCAAATACAAGATGGTCTGACTCCCTAAAGGAATCCACAGGCTTTAGTTTACAAGAGCTGATCAAGGCTGTTGAGGACAGGGCATTTGGGAGAGCTGTCATTCATAGGGTCACCATAAGTTGGAGATGACTTGACGGCACATAACCACAGCAACAACGTTATAGCCATTCATGATGTAAGTTATATTTTACCACAAGTGGAATGCAAATACTGAGTTCCGTGTTAACTCATGGGCCCAGTTCAGAGAGTGGGAAGCGCAAGAGATATATGTTTCACCCCTATGTTTCCTACATTAGTTGTGCAAAAGAAACTTCTCATAGTCTTCATCTCTTCCCATACTGGGGAGAACAAGAGGAAAGGTTGGTTAACCTCCAAGTAGAAGGCAGCCAACATTGAAACGGAAGGGCATTGGTTCTGAGTACCTCCAAGTAGAAGGCAGCCAACATTGAAAAGGAAGGGCGTTGGTTCTGAGTCTGTTTTTTGCCAGTCTCACCCACTTGACAATGAATACATTTACATAGGATGTATGATTGGTGTAAAGACTCTTCTTTAGGTCAGTTTCTAGGAAATCTCAGGAACTATGAGAGATGAGACCTGCAGGTGATGAGCTTTTGGGGTGTCCTGGGGAGATGAGATGAGTCTTTTAGCCCCGACTGTAAAATGTATATGTTTGAGAGTCAGTCAGTCAGTCACACAGTGATTAATTGAAAGGTTAACAGGCATGACTTCCAGCAACAGCAAGGGGGTCTTAGGCATGCAAGATTTAGAGAGAGAGAGAGAGAGAGAGAGAGACAAAGAGGTTCCTTTGCATGTCCAAATGGCATGTCCTGAAGCCATGAGAAGAGACCCAGAAATTTGAGATTTCAGGTCAAAAGCTTCAAGTACATAGAATGAGATTCCCAGTGTGGTGTAGTGGGTAGAGTGATGGATTAGGACCCTGGAGAACAGGGTCCAAATCCGCTTTTAGAGAGAGAGAGAGAGAGAGAGAGAGACAAAGAGGTTCCTTTGCATGTCCAAATGGCATGTCCTGAAGCCATGAGAAGAGACCCAGAAATTTGAGATTTCAGGTCAAAAGCTTCAAGTACATAGAATGAGATTCCCAGTGTGGTGTAGTGGGTAGAGTGATGGATTAGGACTCTGGAGAACAGGGCCCAAATCCCCTACTTAGCCATAGAAACTGACTGGGGGAGTGGAACTGGTAAAACCACTCCTTAAATATCTCATTTACCTTGAAAGCCCTATTAGGCTCAGGATAAGTCTGTTCTGAATTGACAGCAGAAACCACACAAACACACACATACAGAACAAAGCCCCCAAACTGAGATCTAGCAGTCTTACAAGGCTTATGGCCTACATAGTCCTGATTGGCAGCAAAATGTATATTTGTGATACTCTCGGTTTAAAGATTAAAGTGTTGAGGTGCAACAACAGCCACAACAAAACCTAACATGAAAATCCTAATGGCATTATGTGGAAACGTCATCCAGGGTAACCTCTTTGTATTTCTGTCTGCATCATGATGTATCAGGCCAGAATAATGATACCTGTATAATCATTACAAGCTCTGCATCTGTAGCAACACTAATTTGCTCTCTAGGAGCTGATGTGCAGTCCTGATTCTGTAAGTTGTAAGTAGCACCATCACTATGTTTACCAAGCCTGTTTGTAATGGGTGTGTACAATAAGACTTGTTATCTTTTCAGAAATAGGTGTTCCGAAAGGGTCCACAATTACTTGAACAACAAATTATTACATTTTGTCAACATTGTGTGAATGATCAAAAGTAAATCATGTACTGTGCCCGTGCTCTCTAAAAGATATAGAAGCTCTCAGGTTATAATTATAGGATATAATTTAAAAACCACTTTTCTTGGTTTTTGAAGTTTATCCTTCCCATCTTGATTATAGTATTGTAGATTTCAATTGTTGTTTTTATCTGTTTGTAATATATTGTGAGCCACCCTGAGTAGACTCCTGTCTAGAAGGGCGGGATAAAAATCCATTAATTAATTAATAGGACACTTTACTTCTCTGGTTCTTCTCAGACACTTGATTTTCTAGTTTTAGAAGAGGTAGCTCTGTTAGTTTGTGCTGGCATATCAGGCCAAAAAAGGAAAAATAAAAAAATAAAGAAGACAAAAACATTGTGGCACCTTATGTGTTTCTCATACCAACTGTTCAATATTCCTTGGCTGGGAAAGCTGAAGATAAAATAAAACCCAGTTCTATTGCAACAGAGGGAGCTTGCAAAATATAGTGATCCTGGGAAAATCCATTTCTCTCCCAGCTAAGAAAAGGCCTGCAGCTAAGCTCAGAGGGGATAAGACCCGGGGGGGTGGGATAGCAAGTGATATCATAGGTCATAGAATCATGGAATGCAGTGGACCCTTGACTTACTGAATTAATCTGTATTGGAACGGTGGCTGCAGGTCGAAAAGTCTGTAGGTCGAGGCTCCATTGACCTACAATGCATTGAAAACCGATTAATCCATAACTGGCCGTTTTTATTCCATTTTGGTTTTTTTCCCGGTCTGTAGGTCGATTTTCCGGCTGCAAGTCGAACCTAAATTTTGCGGCCAGAGAAGTCTGTAACTCGAAAAGTCTGTAAGTGGGGCCATCTGTAAGTCGAGGGTCCACTGTAATGCGGTTGAAAGGCCATCAAACCTAGCCCCCTGTTCAGTGAGCAGTTCCTGCTACTCAGAATGTCTTGGAGCTTCATCTTTGTGGGCCATGGCTCCAACACACATCACACTCTTGCCTGTCCTCTATTGCCCAGATTAAGGGCCTGCCCACACTGTGAAATTTGGTGTGATCCAGCCAGTGTTTAAAAGGGTCATATTTTCAGTGCAATCTATTTTAACTCTTGGTACCCATCCAAGAAGGCAGAACAAAGAGCTATTTTGCATCTCAATGAATCATTCCAAAAAGAATGCATACCCTAGCCCTGTACCAGAAAGATATGGGACAGCTCTTAATGTGGAAGGATGGATCATTTTAAGTAGAAACACAAGTGGGTGAGGTCTTTTTTTTCTGTACCAAACAGTGTTATCAGGGAAGAATATATCATAACTATATGCCAGTGTAGACAGGCTCTAAATACCTGGCAGATACTTCAAACAATAACACAACAAAACGCAACAGAAATTCAAACTATAACACTTTTTTTCAAATAAATTCTAATTCATGATTGTAAAGCATTCTTTTGTACAGTGTTAACACCCCATGAAGGTCCATAGTCCTGTTCTCCTTTTCCATGTTAATTAAAACTAACACAGATCTGAAAGAACATTGATTAAATCTTTTGTTATTTTTCTCCTGCCTTATGCAGAATTTATATTTGCTCATAGCTTATTAGAAGGTTCACAGAGTAATATTCCAGTCCTCAAAATATACCTCTGTCTGCAGGTCATGTAGATCCCATCACTCTCACATTGTAGCTATGCGGCGATGTAATATTATCTGAAAATCTTGATATACAATTTCCTCAAGGAAATTGGAAGACAATGCGAGTTATGTTCATTCCTCTCTCAACCAGCTGTATTTTGCTGCCATCTGGTGGCATATCTAAATTATTGCACATTTTGGGAGTAATCAGCATAAAATTTAGCTTTGCCGTTTCACAAAAGTCAGCAGCGTTTATGAAACATGTTGAAGTCTTGTTTTCATAGTGAAACTTAGCTCTGGTGTTCAGTATGGACACACATTCTCTCACCATAGTCTGTTCTGTCATGTTCTTACCAGTCTTGGTTTGATTTCTGCTTTATGAACCGCAGAGATATGTAGTATAAAACCAAGAAGCCTGTGGTCATACCAACCAAGATAAGGTAAGTGGCATAAAGGGGACAGGAGTCTAAACCCATTGTTTTGAGCACCTGTAAAAACAGATAACATACGGCATTTGGTTAAAAGAGAGCAAGGGAGTCATCAAACGAAAGGAATTTTATTCAATTATTGAGACATGAGTTTTGCCAGAGAAACTAAATAACTAAATATGCAAATAAATAAAACAGTGGCTGGAATCCTGTTGCAATTTTTTTAAAATAATTTTTTTCTTTTGTAAGGCCTGTGACTAGTAATTTTACTTATATTCTGTAATAAAATAACAGAGGGATTCAGATCAGTACATCTGAAAGTATGAACATATTCTCTCGTTTTTTGTTTTGTTTGACAACTGGCACTATTTTAGAAGAGGCAGAAGTATAAATGTCTCACTTAAAATAAAACCTTACATCCATAACTTTTTTACTTGTATTTTTGAAAAGTTTAAAAGATGGTTTCTGATTAATTAGGAACTTCTGTTAAATTTGTTAAGTGAACAGTTAGCTAGCTGGATGCCACGGCTTTCATCTCTTCAATGTTGTGAAGTTCTGGAAAGAAGCAACGATATTTTCTTTCTGGTTTTTGCTTCCTTTACAGTTCGTGGCAGCTATCTACAAATTTCAGATGCGAGGCTCTTCCACTATGACTGACTGTCATAGTAAGAACTGTAGCACTTCCCTTGACAAGTGCCTCATTTGGGAGGTGGTGCAGCACAATTTCTAAACACTGTTTTCCAGTAAATTCAAAGCTGAGCTGCGGTGAAAGGAAAGATTATTCCCTTCACCAAACCAAACCAGGAGAAGTACACACACATACCCAGCAGTTTATATTTCTTCTTTTGACATGAATGGTTGTGATGAAGCACGAATACGGGAAAATAAAGAATCAACATCTTGGATGCCCCAGAATGAAAGCTAGGCCAAGGTGGGTAAAGTGAAGTAGCTGATGGAGATCGCCTTGGGACCCCACAGGTAGTGGACTAAAACCCTGAGAAGCCTTCACCACTAGATGTGCTGGCCAGGATTTTTGTGAGTTGTAGCCGAAGCACATCTGGGAACCCAAGGCTAGGAAGTACTGGTTAGATGAAGTGGTGCCTATAGATTTCAGCCTATAGTTGTGTTTATTTAGGTTCAGTGCAAATAGAATCTCTGCTGCACGACTTCCAAAGACTAGACATAGACTATTCATATTCATATCCCTGGGAATATGAGTATGAATACGAATAGCAACACCATAGGCACCACAGAGGATGATGAAGCACGAATACGGGAAAATAAAGAATCAACATCTTGGATGCCCCAGAATGAAAGCTAGGCCAAGGTGGGTAAAGTGATGTAGCTGATGGAGATCGCCTTGGGACCCCACAGGTAGTGGACTAAAACCCTGAGAAGCCTTCATCACTAGATGTGCTGGCCAGGATTTTTGTGAGTTGTAGCCGAAACACATCTGGGAACCCAAGGCTAGGAAGCATTGGTTAGATGAAGTGGTGCCTATAGATTTCAGCCTATACTGTAGTTGTGTTTATTTAGGTTCAGTGCAAATAGAATCTCTACATAGACTATTCATATTAATTTCCCTGGGAATATGAGTATGAATACAAATAGCAACACCATAGGCACCACAGAGGCCCATTCCCTCCCCACAGAACCAGCTGATCCACTCATTGTGGCACTCGGCTCCATCATCATTTCACCAGTCGTGGAAGGAGCCTGGCTGGCTCTTCCCCACACCCCCACGCAACTGACCACTTTGGCAAGGAGGCAGGATGGGGAGTCTCCCCGCTCAGCCAATGAGTGGTCAGCTGCATGGGGAGGCAGGGAAGAGCCAGCTGGGCTCCTTCCACAATTGGCACAATGATGGCTACGATGGTGCTTAGCGTTGCACAGCAAATGGTGAGTGAGTGAATCAGCTGGTTCTGGGGTGACGGAATGGATTTCCCTTGCCCCAGGGATACAAATACAAATAGCCCATGTCTACAACAGATCTTGTAGTTTGATAAACTACTTAGCTGTCTCTGTTGTATTTCAGGGAAAAACTCAAGAGCTATCAGGCAAAGAATTCTAAGCATTCTCACCAAATCCAAAGATTCCACAGGATGGAGCTGTGACAGGTAAAGTGATATCAAAGTGCAATAATTGTACAGTGCAGACACACCCTCTGTCTTTAAACTGCAGCATCAAACTTTTGTCTCTAAACTGCAACTATTTAAAACTTAAATTTCTTCCTTACATCATCCTTAGGGGAAAATGAAAAAGGCATCCAGCATCCTATTTAGATCTTTGCTGGTTATTGTTAAGGTGAGTCATTAAGATCCATCATACTAAATTTTAGTTTTCATGGCAAGGGTATCACACTTAATTTACCTATGTAGGAACAGTTGATACCTTTATTGAACCACTAAAAAAATTAAAACAAACAGCGAGCTCTTGGTGATCCTTCATCTTCTTCCAGCTGTGCACCAAGTTCTTGTGGGTGGTTCCAAAATTTTTGTTAAAGTCCCGAAGTCTCATGGCCATTGTTGAGGCTAGGCTGAGCTTCTTACATGGAAATGGCTGCTGTCTGCAAAAGGGCTATGGGGGGGGGGGAGAGTGTGGCTTCAGACCTCTCCCCATCCAGTGTTTTAGAATTTATCACCCAACTTTTTAAACAAATGGCAGCCAAGCAATTTACTTACTAATAGTATGCCTAGGCCAGACTTGTTTGGCTGGTTTCAGATCCATTAACTCTCTTAAAATCACTGAACTTGAGGAAATCCTAAGTAGAGATGTAGGTATTCATATACAAATACAAATATCCCCACACAGCTGGACCTAACGAGGGTCTGGCCTTCACATGTCCTCCTGCAACGCCAGTCCTGCTCATCCTTCCAATTGTGCCCAGAGCACCACTCTCTTCTCACTCGGCAGCCATGCAGGGAGACTCGTCCGCCTGTTCCCTGCCTAGAGTGGCCACCTGATCCGGAAGAGAGCGGCACTCCGGGCGCGATTTGAAGGATGAGCGGGACCAGCACCACAGCAAGACACATGAGTGGACAGTCTGGTCCCAGGGGCCAGGCCCTTGTTAAGTCCAGCTGCGTGGGAATATTCATTTTCATATATGAATATGAATACCACCATCTCTAATCTTAAGAGATCACTCCAATGTCCTAGAAGTAATTTAACAATGTGTTTAACAGGACTTTGCTAAATTGTTTTTTCAATAGGAGTTAGGTATCCAGATGCAGATTCAGAGGTCAGGATTTCAATTCCCCATGATGTGCCTCAGGAGAAGAGCCAGCTTGTTTAACCCTGGGCAAGCTGTACAGTTCCAGGGTGCCCTCAGAAATCGGAATGGCAGACCACTTCTGAGTACCCTAAATCTAGAAAACTCTGAAAATGGGTCACCATGAGCTGGAATCAACATGATGGCATGCTGATGTTGCTGCCATCATCAATATCATCATATACATTCATTTGACAGTTAGATAAACAGAGCTTCTTTCCAGATAAGTGTGTAATGTACCTACATTTCAGATTATAATGTCAATTACAAATAGAAAAATGTAATATGATTCTATTCCATTAGTTCAGGTGTATAACATTTGAGCAGTTATATTGAACGTACTTAATAATATTTCCTGTTCATAACACCTGAGCAGGGCTGTCAATCATAACACCTTTTGGAACTCATTATTCATAGGGTAACCATAAATCACACAACAACAAGAACTTTCCCTAGAAAAATATAACTTACAAGATTTCCAGGTACTGGATAGGTGACATTCCCAGAAGTCATAGGGTAAGTGATTCCCATAAATTGAATTTTCATTAATCCTTCAAAACTCCATCTGACAAAAGATACTTTTGAAATCCATGATGGAACTGGAAAAAGAAAGAAACAAAAGGAACATAATTGAATATAAATTAGTAACATGTGTCAGGGTCATCTAACACTGAGAAGTAATCATTTAATAACAAAAATATAGCATCTAATATCAGCAGTTATGTTTTCCCTCACTAATTAAGGCTTTTCACAGGAACACTGTTTTTTCTAATAAATAAAGAGCTCTGAAGTGTGGTGGGGATGGAGAATATGTGGCCTTCTGATGCTGTTGGACTACATCTCCCATCACACCTTGCCATTGGCCACCTCTGGGATAGGTGGTGCAGCAACAAGGTACAGTATGTGATTTCCTAGGCTCAGTCCTAAGCATCTCTGAGGAGAACTTGAAAAGACCCTTCTCTAGAATTCCAAAAGCACTTCTCCAGAATTCCAGGGAACCTTCCACATGGACTGCTTCACCATGTTATCTGGCCTAGCTTAATGTGACTTCCTTGGTTTCTGATTTTTCATACTCGTGATCTGTTTAAGAAGCAGCTTGACTACTCAGTGATGAATTCTAAGAATTGATACATTCGGTTGCTCGTCCAGTCTTCCTCATGACTGTTGTTCTCCTGCAAAAGAGGTCCCCACTTGTCCTCGTGTTAATGAAAGATCAGATATAGGATATCAGATGTTTTGCTAGCCTTTTGAAAAGACATTCTCCAATTTGATGCCTGAGGCAGCTGCACCATTCTGTTTACTAGTAGGGATGGCCTGGTTTTGTTGTTGTTGTTGTTGTTATTTCAACCTATATACCACCCCATAGGGCTAAAGCACTAGAGCAATATAGAACATTGATTGTCCAAAGATTTTGTGCAGATGATATTTCCAGCTCACCTGTCCACAGGTTTTCCAGGCTTATCAAGAAGCCTCCACTCAGAAAGAATGTTGTGTACAACATATTACCAAAAAAAGCTGATATTTGCAATGTTGGGAGCAGTGCAGATATCCACATTGCCATGATTCGGGCACAGTAAGTCACAAACATAAGAAGCAGCAAATTAAGTAAGAAACGTTCAGGATCAGGGCTGAGATTTGCCAGCCAGTAGATGGGAATCCCATAAACTATGACAGTGAAACATTGTTCAGGAAGATCTCCTAAAACCTGTTAAAGAAAGAATACATTAGAATACATTAACACTGGATAGCTCCAGTGAATATCATGGGAGAGTTATTTATTTATTTACTTGCTGCAACCCCTATGGTCACCAACCATGATGGATGGGTATTCTCAAAATCATAGTACAACGCAGTAATTTTTGCAGTTTCTGCTTCCATATGTGAAACCCAGACAATCAACACTGTGTTTTTATTGATACAACACTGGATGTCAAACTAAATGATATGTTGGCAAAAGAAAAGGAGGAAAAAGAGGTGGGAAGTAGACCAATAATTTTATTTCACTGTAAACTTTCATGGATCACAGTCCATTTCCTAATCTTAAACAGATGATATGCTTGACCAGTGTTTAGAAATGTTGGTCTTCAAAGTGTGAGATACATCTGTTCGTCCTAGCATGTGCGTTTCTTACTCCTACGTCTAGCATTTCAATGTGCTTTCTTTTGAAGATGGTTATTGGAAGATAAACATGGGCTTAATTTGGAAGTATAGTTGCTGAAGCACTTGTCATTGAGAAAATTATGTTGTGGGAGAAAAATGAGCTAATCACAGGAAATATGCATTTGGCTTAAAGTGTAGTTCAACCCTGAGAGCTTAGCGAAAATGCTGTTGTTACAACAAGTCATCAATACGCTATCAATAAGGAAGTCCTTATTTCTTAAACTGTAGTGAACACCATAGTCCAGTGTGCTCCTGAAGTGTTTTAAGGCTGTCTGCAAGACAGAGGAAAACAACAGCATTGCTAAAACTGAAACCAATTACCTTGGCAGAGACGAAGGAGCTAACAGGGTATAATCCATCTTCAAACTCCTGATAAAACACTGGTCTTTCAGAATGACCTGTAGCATAAAATGTAACCATAGGAGTGATTCACTGCTATCTCTTCCAGATTTTGCTATCTTCTAAATGCATCCTTTCAACTTTTTAATGTAACACAAAGAACTTACATTTTGTTACGCAGTCAAGAATCACAATATAAGGAATCAAAGCTCCTATCATAAATAGAAGTGCGGATAAGTCCTGAATAGACAGCTGGTTTTTTCCATGACCATAATAAAGGAATCCAATTAATAAAGACATAAGGAGGGCCTCAAATCCCCGGATTAGCAATGCTGAGAGATCTCGGAAATCGTTAGAGATCTGGCGACTAAAAGAGAAATAAAATTGATAAACATAGAAACACTGCACCTTTAGTGCACCCATTGAAGAAAGAGGTATTTACATTTATTACAGTTATAAAAGGCGCCACCTTAAATGTTTTGGGGCTCAGATGTCTAATCCACCCTTTCTCCTATATGTGCCTCTCTGAATGTCAGGTTGCCTTTGACAGCCCTTGTCCAACTGCCTGCAGCTAATGATCTCATGATTAATATCTTGTAATTTTTCTCTGAACTTGACATGTTTTTCGTCCCACAAGTAATTCTTAACCCCTCTCCCAACCCTTTCCTGCTCCACCTATCTGACATCAGAAAGTCTCATCTTGTAACATGACAATAGTCTATCAGCTAGTTTCAATTTCTGGCACTGAAATGTGAGAGAATGGGATACGACTGTGCTGGAAACCTCATTCCATCTGCTACGATTGGTTTTGTTCCTGTAAATTAAGCTTAAATAGTTGGAATAGACCTGGTCTAGAGGGGCGGGGTATAAATCGAATTAAAGGAAAGGAAAGGAAAGGAATAATAAACCCTATTTAACTAAGCACAATTTACAGTAAATAGAATTAAAAATATATAGATGTTTATATCTTCTGAGGGTTAAATACACATAGTTACCAGACTTCTCGTCCCCTGCTTATTTCAATTATTATTTCAATCTAAAACACTGAAGGGGCAATTCTGATATTCAGATACCATTACCTTAGTAAAATAGTGAACTGTTGGAACCATCCTGACAATTGATCAACTGGCTGGCAGTTCACAGTAATTGACTCCTCCGAAATGGGTACAGAACTGTCAAAAAGGAAGGGAATTTTCTCATGGAGAATTTATGGAGATTTATTTCATAGTCAGTCTTCCAAGCCCTCCCTTCAACCCCCTCCCTCCTTCCCTCCTTCTTTTTACCTCGGTGTAGAAACAGGTGCCGTGTTGCTACGTTGGCTGCTTCTCCATAAAAAGTCATCAAAACATCTGATGTTTTCATGGAACATGGCAGCCATGAGGCTGATCCTCCGCTTACATTCTATCTCTCTTTCTTCAGTATGCCTATTGATGCTGGTCAAATCAACTGTAAAACAGTATCCAGTGAAAAGGCATGTGATCCATGCTGCATCCACTGTTAACCACTTCCGTTACTTGCAGTTTTAGCTTTGATTTATCCTTTTAAGACTACGCTACTCAACTCCTGTGGCGTCAACTCCTACAACTCCCACCAGTTCTAGCCAGCATAGCCAACAATTACAGGAGTTGTACGCAAACACATCTAGAGGGCCGACCAATGGAGTTCTTCAATTTTGCAGTTTCCCACCTCTTCAGTTCCCATATCTGTAGTGCTGTTCTCCAGAGTTGCAATGGCTCCCCCACAGTGGGAAGAGCAACAAACTCATTGCTCCTTGAAGTTGGCTGCCTGGGAACCCCACCACAATTGACTACCCCTGTCTGTGTCTGCAAGATTCCCCAGCAGTAATGCTAAATATACAAACCATAGAAATCAGCAGGGTTGCTGTATGTTGGGCAGGGATAACCTATTTTTGTGAAGTATTGGACCATGTCTTGGGCAGCTCCTGAATAGACGGTGACTCCAGATGTCATCAAGAGAACCAAATCGAAAAGCTGGAAGATGTCTGATCGTGGCTGGTGAACTGAGAGAAGGACTAATCTGTTTCCTCTGGCTAGTCTGGAGAGTGTTATCACTAGGTTATGGGCAGTAAAGCTGTCCAGTCCAGCTGTGGGATCATTGAATATCAAAATTCCTGCAAAAGAAGACGACTAAGTCAACTCTGTCATTTACGTTGGAAGATTTCTTCTTCATTCTGAATTCCCAAATATTAGAGGAGTCTAAACAGTGGTTGGATGACCACCTATCAGGGATGTTTAATGCAGAGATTGCCTGTTTTGGCAAGTGCTGGACTCAATGGCCCTTGCAGTCCTTCCTAGCCCTAATATGTAATGTTATATGTTAATGGCAAGTGCTGGACTCAATGGCCCTTGCAATCCCTCCTAGCCCTAATATGGTTCCCAACCTTGAGTCCTCCAGATGTTCATGGACTAAAACTCCCAGAAGCCTTCACCACTAGCTGTACTAGCCAGGATTACTGGGAGTCGTAGTAATCACCCAAGGTTGGGTACCACTGCTATATACCACTGCTAGTATGCTGATGACACCCAGCTCTACATCTCCTTTTTTCCAACAACAGTAGATGCCATTCCATCCCTTCAGCGCTGCCTGGAGGCTGTACTGCAATGGATGCAGGAGAATGGACTGAGGCTAAATCCAAACAAGACAAGGTCCTGAGGGTGGCAATGGACTGAGGCTGAATCCAGACAAGACAAGGTCCTGAGGGTGGCCGGCCCCACCATCAGTGGTTTGGGAAACTCCCTCTCTTTGGGGGAAGTGACCCTCACTACTAAGAGTAAGGTTGGCAGTTTGGGGGTCCATCTGGATCCAGCAGACTAAGAGTAAGGTTGGCAGTTTGGGGGTCTATCTGGATCCAGCAGTCACATGGAAACCCAGGTAGCATCAGTGGTCCGCTCCAGCTATTTCCATCTCTAAACCCAGGTAGCATCAGTGGTCCGCTCTGGCTATTTCCATCTCTGGCGGATTGTCTAACTGCATCCCTATCTTGATGTTGGCACGCTCACCATTCTGATCCATGCACTTGTAATTTTAAGATTAGACTACTGTAATGCGCTCTACATGGGGCTACCTTTGAGATTGATGTGGAAGCTTCAAATGGTGCAGAATGTGGCGGCCAGACTTCTCACTGGGGTGACAAAATATCAGCATATTTCCCCCTCTCTGGCTGCCTTGGATTGGCTGCCCCTTCATTTCTGTATTGATTTCAAGGTGTTAATGATGACATATAAAGCCCTAAATGGTTTAGGACTTCGATATCTAGCGGAATGCCTCCTCCCACCTAGATCTACCCGAATCACTCGTTCTAGCCAGGAAGAGCAGCTGAGGGTCCTAACAAGGAGGGAGGCCCAGAGAGAAAGAACAAGAAACCGGGCCTCCTCTGCAGTGGCCCCTCGCCTCTGCAACAGTCTGTCTGGCTCCCTTGCTGGGTGTTTTTAAGAGCAGACTTAAGACCTGGCTCTTTAGACGGCTTTTCCTCCTCTCATCACCTGATTACTTTTGCCATCTTGAATTATATTATTATTGTTGTCTTTATTTTATTATACAGTATTGTTTTTACTTTATCCATTATTGTGAGTCACCCAGAGTAGACGTTGGTCCAGATTGGTAGGGTAG